CTCGAAAGCTTTCTCTTTTCCATATGAGTAAGGCTGGGTTTACTCAGATATTTCAGCTCTTTCCCAGTCCTATTTTGAGAGCCTTTTAGCCTAAATGGACTATTCCTAAAGGTGCGCGGTAATGTACCAAACACTGTTTCTTTGCTATTCATAAGGTTTTCCCTGGCCAATTCAAGGAACATTATTACTATCTGTTGCACTGAGTTTCTCAAAATCTCTCTTGAAAGAGGGATCTGGTGTGGGTTGTTAGTAGGATGCCATCTTCTACATTCCTGCTTCTATCTTTTCTATGAATAATTTCATTATCTTCTGACTTGTTGTTTCCCATTTCTTAATTAATTAAATAAAAATTTAGTTTGAGAAACACAAACATTAGTTATCATTTTCATAATTTTTATTTTTAAACATTTCTTGAATGAAAGTAGGGTGATTTTTTTTTTTTTTAATGAGCCACTATATTATTATATCAAAACAAAGGAAGCTTCATTTTATAATTTCCCTAACAGGAATTCTAACCTACTTCATGTGTATGCTGAGAGCTTTCATCCCTGCCCCAAGTACTTTACCAGTACCAGGTAGTACTGTCATTAACACATTGCCGGCTATATCAAGGAATTGTGATAATGCTGAGCGTTCCTGTTTAGTGTTTTCAATCTCTTCTTTTAGTTGTTTTATCTCTTCATTTAACTCCCCAGATTTCTTTTTAAATCCTTCCAAAAGCAGTTCTTCTTGGACCTATAAAAGGGAAAGAGTAACTTTTAAAAAACACAATTATCAAGAGTCATGGTTTTGCACTTAACAACTTTGTCATATATTAGCATGCATGCATATTTCTCTAAGTTAGAGGACTCTTTGATGAGTTTTTCCAGCCTATTTGTACATTTGAACCTGTATATTGATAGAATGCATGGTTTGAACCTTTCCAAAATTCCCTCACCATCATCTCACTGAGGGTGGGGAGCAGTGTGGCTGTGTCATAATGCACTCTATCCCAATGAATGTCTTTTGGGAAGGAATGTACATTTAATGTGAATTAATTCTCAGTTCCAACTGAGGGAGTATGGCCACACACATCTAAAAAATAATGGGAACTGCTGAACCTGTGTAGAAAGCTGCTTATGAAGATCCAGGTCAGGACAACAAATACATTTTACTCCAGGTTGCATAGGGTGACTATGGCAGATTTGGAAATGAATTTAGCCAGTATCAGAACTTTCACACTCTGTATTTCATATCAGGCCAAACCTAATGCTTTCAAGACTTGATGGATCTATCTCAGGTGTCTTTGATGTTGTACCAGGAATCCTAAAACTAAAGGACTAAGGCCAGATTCAACTGGCACACAAGGATACTACCCTATAATCACAATAAATAGTAGCTCATGCTATATGGGATGTTGTTCTCTCCAGAGCCTAACACTGAAGAAGTTGCCAGAGTCTTCTAGATTGAAAGACTTCAGCAGGATCTAGACAGATTTCAGATTTTAGTAAACTAAATGCCTTCTGTGTTTTCTTCTGAGATCCTGACTTTGCTTCAAATTTTGACCTTCCCCTCTTTAAGTAGTTGGAAAATATGGCCTTGGTGATGGAAATGATGCTGGAGATGGCATGATAGAATTTTGCGAGACCAACAACTTATTCAAAGCAAATACCTTTTTGCAACAACGTAAACAATGGCTATACATGTGGACTTCATCAGATGGAATACACAGGAAGCAGATCAACTACATCTATGGAAAGAGGTGATGGAGAAGCTCAATATCTTCAGCCAAAACACAGCCAGGAACTAGCTGTGGAACAGACCATCAACTGCTCATATGCAAGTTTGATTTGAAGCTGAAGACAATTAAAACAAGTCCAAATTTAAAAAAAAAAAAAAAAAACAGACTCATTGCCATTGAGTCAATTCTGACTCATAGTGACCCCCTTTGGGTTTCTAGGCCAGTAAATCTTTAGGGAAGTAGATTGCCCAGTCTTCCTTCCATAGAGAGGCTGGTGGGTTTCAACTGCCAACCTTCTGGTTAGCAGTCAAATGCCTTAGGCACTATGGACCCAGAGCTTCTTAAAACACAAGAGAAAAATTATGATCTTGATTATATCCTTTCTGAATTTAGAGACCATCTAAAGAATAGAGTTGATGCATTCAACATCAGTGATTGAAAACCAGATGAATTGTGGGATGACAGCAAGAACATCATCCAGGAAGAAAGCAAAAGGTACTTAAAAAGACAGGAAAGAAAGGAAACACCAAAATGGATGTCAGAAGAGTCTGAAATTTGCTCTTGAATGAAAAGTAGCTAAAGCAAATGGAAGAAATGACAAGATAAAAGAGCTGAACAGAAGGATTCAAAGAGCAGCTCAAGAAGACAAAGTCAATTATTATAATGAAATGGGCAAAGAGCTGGAGTTAGAAAACCAAAAGGGAAGCACATGCTCAGTATTTGTCAAGCTGAATGAACTGAAGAAAAAATTCAAGTCTCAAGTTGCAATATTGAAGGATTCTATGGGCAAAATATTGAATGATGCAGGAAATGTCAAAAGAAGATAGAAGGAATACACAGAGTCACTGTACCAAAAAGAATTGGTCAGTGTTCATCCATTTCAGGAGGTGGCATATAATCAA